TCCTAGACATTTCAAATCCTGATGCCAGGAAAAACGATGGCTATGCTCAGCAGTGCACAATAGCTTTGTCTTCTTAGAGTTCTTTCCCTGGGACCCTTCCTATAAGATCAAGGTTCACACACTGACAATGGCAACAGTGAAGAAAAAGGTGACCCCAAAAGAGAAACTAAGACTGGATCAAGCAGATCTAACTAATGCAGCTGTGGGAGCAAGCATCCTTTCTCTCTGCAGTGAGGTTGTCTATTGTCCCTGCCTATCCTCTAACCATCTTCTCTGCAGCCCCAGCTGCACAATGTCTCAGCAGTTCCCTACCAATATTATACTTTGCCAGCAAATGACTACTGTTCTTGCAGATGAGTATATTTGTAATAAATTTTATCTGAGTAATTTTTTAATGACTGCTTTAGCATCTGCCCTTCCTCCTCTTCCTTTTCTCTGAAAACCTTTATCCTCACACTCAAGGAAAACTACAGACACTCTAAAAATGAACTAATTGAGCTTAAGTCTGCATTAACTGAATTGACCAGTCTGCTAATGGTGTCTAAAAACATTTTTTCTAAATTCCTCTAGAAAATTATAAGCCAATTATCCTATGTGGGCTGCACAAAAGAGAGAGGAGAAAGAAAAAAGAAAAGAGAAGAGGAAAAGAAAACAGAAAATATTAAGAAGAGCTTCAGCTGAAAGGCAGTTGTGTCTCACACTAGAATGTACAGATGACAAGCAAAAGGCGTCTTTCTCTGCTGCTTCAAGAAGCTGTTTGTTTTCCCTCCTTATGAGTCCCAGGATTTCAAAAAGAAAATGTGTCATTGTCCCCACCAAGTGCAATCTAACTTGTTCTGTTTCCGAAGTGAACTTGTGTTGAACGTAAAGTTTTCAATCTCAAGGTCATGCCTGTGTACCATGTCCTATGATTGGGAAGTTCATACTGTATTATACACAATCAAATCTGGCCTTTTGGACTTCTTTCCCAACCCCCACTCCCACCTCCTGTCAGATCTAGGACAAGACTGTCTTCCTCCCCTTCCCCAATTTGTACACATAATAAGAATGCTTCATAATCTACACTCAAATATTAAAACTGCAAGAGTCATAATCCCCATGGCTGGGGCACTGTCCGAAGGAGCATGAGTATAGTCTGCCCAGCTGCAGCCTCTCGTGATTCCATAGGAGCTCAACCTGAACCATATTAATCTGCTTAATTTCTTTTGTGAGACCTTCCTTGCTTGGAAAGACAGAAGCCTGGGTCTCTGCAAAAAAAAAATGTTCAGAAGCTTGTACCTTTAAATCTTGTGAGGAAAGAAAGGCATTGTGAATGTTCAAGTTACAAATAAATGAAAGTATATGCTAATCAAGCCAAGCTGACATCCTTTCAGAAATAAACAATTTCTCCTCCTCTTAGAAATAAGCAAATAGCAGGGAGAAAGTGGGGTGGTAAATTGAACCATGAAGACCACTCAACAAGGAATGAAGATGATGTCCAGTGGTGATCTGGCCCAGGAATTGAAACCTTTGCTTCCTTGCTAGAGATAGGTGGTAGATTTGCTACAATTACACTTTGTCTACTTCAAAGCAAGGCTCCTTCTCTAAAGCGACTTTTAGCTGCCCCAGCCTGGTAGGTTGGATAGCTATTGTGATATAATTCAACCCATAGCTCTAGAGGGGGTGGGGAGATTCCAATCCAAAGGCTCAGAACAAACTTGAAGATCTGGATGAGGAACACACCAAAGTACATATTAGCACAGATGCTGGAGAAAGAGCAGTTTTGCTAGTGGTAACTTTGAGTTTAAGGCAAAATGCTGTCTATAAAAAATAAGTTACCAGCTCTTTGCAACAGTAGCTTCACATGGACTTATTTTTCTCCCATGTCCAGACAGGGTCGTCTATTGAATGAGGCTCTTTTATTTTGTATGGGGCAGGGGATTTGTGACCATGGTCCCCCCTTTTATTCCTCTCTCTATGGAAACCCAGATCATGGGGAGAAATATGCAAGGCTGAATAAAGAGAAGCCACAGAAAGGAGCGCTTGAGAGCGGCATCTGTTACACTTGGGAAGTTAGACTGACAGGAGAGGGCGAAGGAAACCTCTCCAGCAGATTAGTTAGAACAGCAAGAAGATTTTACTATATGCAGATATTTTCTTCTAAATGCAGAACACCTTGCATACAAGAGAAGATCCTATCACACAGCGACACCTGAATGCAAGAGGCACTATCTATATTCGTGGGAACTAATTTTTTTCCAATTTTTAAGTCAGAGAAGGAGAATTTGAGAGGAAGAGAGGAGAGAAGAGGAAGAGAGGAAAGGAGAAACTAGGATACAGTGAAAAGAAAAAAGAAAGATTGGATGGCAAAGATTTCTGCCCCAGTAAAAAAATAAAAGCTATTGTTAACTATTCTTAAAGACTGAAAAACAAGGGTGTAAAAAACGTGTTCCAGGGTGTAAAAGCCCCCTCTTTGCTAATTTCCCCACCCCTAGCTCATGGCAAATGGTCTGAGCCACTTTTGCTTTTCTAGCCCAAACGTTGGTTCCCAAAGCAGAGGCCAAGAGCAAGAGGAAAGTTGATTGTAAGAATTTAGGCAAGTCAGAATTGAAAAAGGACCCCTTCTTTATGCAAAAGCCCTATCAGTTGATAATTATCTCAACTTCCTGAATGGCTGGACTAAGATTAGCAACTCACTCTCAAAAGCAGTTGCTAGGTGGGGGGTGGGGATCCCGCCACCACCAACAGGGCAATGGTCATGATCATTTTCACGCAGACGGTTTCTTAGCGCATTTCCCTCTGACCTCTAAGTTGACCCAACACAGACTAGCAAACGGATCCTGGAACAGACAGCCTAAAAGAACACCAAAAACTTTTATTTTTGTTTGATTTCCACAAGTTCTTATTTCCTCAAGAAGCACAAATTCAGGCACAAATGAACTTCCAGTTCTTGCAAAGGACCATGCACAGAGTTGGCAGTAAGAAATGGCTTTTGTACCTCTCGGCAGAAAAGATAAGAGACAGACACCGAGGCAGAGAAAGAGTGCATGGCTACGGAAGGGTAGGGGGTAGAGACAGTCCGAGACAGAGAAGAAAAATCAATCCCTATGTTAAAAGTAGATAAGCCATTACAATAGGACATCGGCAAATGAAGCTACAATTTCAATGAGGGAGCAGGAGGAGGGGGAGGATAGCAAATGATCCTCTCTACCAATAATTAGTGTTTATCTTTTTTTTTCAGCGCCAAAGAAATAGATTTCAACCAGATACCTGGTTTTCCTGCCTAACAAACACGTTTACATTTATCAATATCAGCTCCTATTGCTCTTCCTTCTCATGCGAAATCTCTACTTTCAGAGGAAATAGATGCTCTTTAGCTATATAAAGGAATGGCAGAATAAGCTCACCTTGTTTTTTATTTTTTTCTCATTTTCTTGCATTTTCTTCAGATCTGTCTTCTTAGAGAAACTAATGCCTTAATGACTTTCTGGTAGCTGCAAGCCTTCTTTTATTTCTGCTAAATATATGAAAATGTATGCAAATTTAAATCAAGCTTAACCTAGGAGCTCTTGCAATATATTTAATGGAATTTCAAACCAATAAGGGAACTCTAATGCCGTCTTCTGTAACTGCAAATATAATTACGCAGCTAGGTTATCTCCAAAATCATTCAACGAAAGGTCATTTTCTAAACTTCAGATTTCTTGTTGGATATCACACATTGCCTTTTCCTAGCTACAGTAAATCTAAAATCTTTGCATTTCTCTCCAACTCTGCTTCCAAGCAACGCCTTTGCACTGGGCTGTGGAGCCCAGGGACTTGTCCTTCTCTAACTTATAAAAGCTAAGAATGATGCAAATCTTTCCTGAATGATACGTCTTTCCTCTTTTCTTCTAAACAAAATGTCAAAACAGTACTGTGTTTCCTAGCTGAAAGCAAATTTAAGCTTGGTGGGGACCGAGAAGTGGGTGGATACACTTGATGTCAAACAGCCCTCTCTTTCTGAATTTCTTAGGTATAGTGGATGATTACATTTTCTTCAGTTTGGCGGGGAGAGGAGTGGGTTGATTTTTTTTTTAACTTAATGGAGACAGCATTCAATATCACAAATGTTTGCCTGTGGTGCACTTACTGGGAACGGGTCCGGTGAAGGTTTGGAGTGTGAATAAGGACTGCTGACTTGAGCGCTTCTAAGACCAGTTGTAGGATGTCTGACGCGAGACGACTTTGGAGCGGTAATAAAGCAAGCTTCCCAAACGACAGCCCAAACAGGGAAACAAACGTAGAAGTAAGTGAATTTTGCCACTCTCACATTAAAAATTTACCACCTAAAATCATACAGTTCCTCACACTCTAAATTATTTTTTTTTTAGAAAATACTATGAATCTTTTTCTTAGATTGCCTTTCGGATTTTTTAAATAAATGATTAAATGAAAGTGAAATAAATGGAAAGACCGTCTATTGCTGTCGTGAATTCATTGATTTAGGTTTCTTTCGAAGTTGTTACTTTACGAAAAGTTTGTAGCTGCGTGTTGTTTTGCAGTCCCCACCACACACTAACGGGAAATGCTGTCTGAAAAGTCTTTACGCACTAAGATCAAAATGACATTTCTTGTTTTACGTTTTCCCTTCTCCCCTTACGTTGGTCCGAATAAACCTAAGGGAATTCTTAAACCCCAGTTTGCTGCTTCTCCCCCACCCCCTCTCTCACCCTCAGGAATACAACCCTCTCGTCTACCCTTCCCCGCAGCAAACACCCGCATAGACTGGGAAAGGAAGGGAAAGAGTTAACCAAAACAGCCGCTGCTAGTCTGCGCTGGGGAGCCAATGGAGCCGAAAGATTGATTCACTTCCTGCTTGGGGCTCACTGAAACTCCCGAGCCTCCCCAGCCTAATTTGGAAAGCGAGCTCGGCCTCCTGCGCCGTCATTGGCTGTCCTCACGCCTGGCCTGGCCGAGTCGCACTGCGATTGGCCTTGGCGGGTGCCGGTAACTCGCGCTCTAGGCTTTGGCTCCCCCGCACCATAGATGTCAAAGGCTGAAGCTGCTCCCTTTGCCACATTATAACTAGTAGGGGATCCTCACCGACCATGGCCACAGCTGCCTCGAATCCCTACAGCATTCTCAGTTCCAGCTCCCTGGTCCATGCGGACTCTGCGGGTATGCAGCAGGGGAGTCCTTTCCGCAATCCTCAGAAACTTCTCCAAAGTGATTACTTGCAGGGAGTTCCCAGCAATGGGCATCCCCTCGGGCACCACTGGGTGACCAGTCTGAGCGATGGGGGCCCGTGGTCCTCTACGCTGGCCACCAGCCCCCTGGATCAGCAGGACGTGAAGCCTGGGCGTGAAGATCTGCAACTGGGTGCGATCATCCATCATCGCTCGCCACACGTAGCTCACCACTCGCCGCACACTAACCATCCGAACGCCTGGGGAGCGAGCCCAGCTCCAAACGCGTCCATCACCTCAAGCGGCCAACCCCTCAACGTGTACTCTCAGCCGGGCTTCACCGTAAGTGGCATGCTGGAGCACGGGGGACTCACCCCACCGCCAGCCGCTGCCTCCACACAGAGCCTGCACCCCGTGCTCCGGGAGCCTCCAGACCACGGTGAGCTGGGTTCACATCACTGCCAGGACCACTCGGACGAGGAGACACCAACCTCTGATGAGTTGGAACAGTTCGCCAAACAATTCAAACAAAGAAGAATCAAGTTGGGTTTCACACAGGCTGACGTGGGGCTGGCGCTGGGCACACTGTATGGCAACGTATTCTCGCAGACCACCATCTGCAGGTTCGAGGCCTTGCAACTGAGCTTCAAGAATATGTGCAAGCTGAAACCCCTGCTGAACAAGTGGCTAGAGGAGGCAGATTCGTCCACTGGAAGCCCAACAAGCATTGACAAGATCGCTGCCCAGGGCCGCAAGCGCAAGAAGCGAACCTCCATCGAGGTGAGTGTCAAGGGCGTACTGGAAACGCATTTCCTCAAGTGTCCCAAGCCTGCAGCGCAGGAGATCTCCTCGCTGGCAGACAGCCTCCAGTTGGAGAAAGAAGTGGTGCGTGTCTGGTTCTGTAATCGCAGACAAAAAGAGAAAAGAATGACTCCGCCAGGGGATCAGCAGCCGCATGAGGTTTATTCGCACACGGTGAAGACTGACACGTCGTGCCACGATCTCTGACTGGAGGAACCGAGGAGGCGGCCGGCCGCACTGGGAGCAGTGCGGGTTCCTTTTCTACTCTCTTCCTTTCATTATTTCATTATTGCTCTCTCTCTCTAGCTCGCCTTCTTTCTCCCTTTGGTTCTCCCTTTCTCTCTTTCTTTCACCGGGGTTTCTAACTTATGTTAAGAAAGGAAAAATACTCGCGTTCAGGCGTCTCAACTCCTAAACACATGCAGTCCAGGTTGGGAGACCTCATATTCCCTGCTGCCTGGGCAATTTCCTTCCAATTTCTGCTGATCAATACATATTGTTTACTCTGAGTAAGATTTGTTTGGTTGCTCCTCTCTAGGAAGAGCAAGAAGTGGGGTAACCTGCGGGCGGGGGGATGGGAGGGGGAAGACAGATGTGTGCCTCTGAATAACCTTTCAGCGCCTTGGTTATAGCAGCTGTATTTCAGGTGAAATCTGTTTTACAATAGACTAGTTTTGCATTTTTTTAAAACTTCTATAGCGTTTCTAAATGTCTGCAGTGTTTTACTACAAGCTGTACACAATATTTGTGAGATAATTTGTATCTAATCGACCACTCGACATTATTATTACTATTATTATTATTATTATTCCTTCATTGAGCTGATGGTTTTTTAATTGCTTATAAGGGGAGGGGAGGCTGAGAAGTGGAGCGAGAAAAATGGTTACCTCCCCACACACCACTACACACCCGAAATCTGTAGGAAGAGGAAAGGATACAATAGAGAGAGTCGTTGATGATGTTGGTTCTGTTCTCCCTCCCCCCCACACCAACACACACACCCCTGGCTGTGCAGTGCCTGGGATGGGCAGTATATTCAAACCAATTGGGTTTGTAAATTAGCGCCAAGTAGGAGAGGCGATTTTTCCAGCTTTCTACCCACTTTCCTAGAACTGGGGATCCTCTATAGGTTTCCACGGGATAGATTCGAAGCCCCAGAAGAATTAAGTGGTGGCGCCCGGAGGAAGAGGTGACCTGAGCCACGGGAATGGTTCTGCACACACCGGGGTCTTGGAGTCCTGCGTGTAGAGCACCTTGCAGGTTGACAGCCTGCAAGATCAGACCTCGGCTCTTGTAGAAGAAAAAGACTTTGCCTTCATAAACGGTTGCTTTCCTTAGAGGCAACGACCCGGAGACGCTGGCGACTGACTGGGCCAGCGCCTCCTGATTCATTCAGTTCACCTCTCGTTCACTGCCTAGTGGTTTCCGTAAGAGCAACCTCCTGGGAGAGGCGGTAAAGGGATTGGATGGACCGACTTTCTCTGCTTGGTGCAAAACGACAACGAAATTGTTGGTAAAGATCAAGGGGATTCTGGTCTAGCCGCTGCTACCATCTCCTCTCTCGTGTATATACCGCTGTCTGTGAGTAGTAGGGTCGTGGGTACCCCGTCTTGGAGCCTCTGACAAGCACAGCTGGTAGAAGCCCAAATCGCCTAAGATAGAGCTAGCGAGCACCTAGGCGGCTGGGTTCCTGCTTTTTTTTTTTTTTAAATAAATCTGTGTCTCTGTGCGTGTGTGCGTGTGTGTGCGTGCAACCGTGTGTGTGTGTGTGTGTGTGTGCGCGCGCGCGCGCGCGTGCGTGTGTGTAGATAGCTGTGTGTATCGTATTACTGTATACAAAAAAACAAAAACTACAAAAAAATCGCTTTAGGCTGTGTAGAGATCCCAAAAATATGCAGTTACTGTGGCTTTATTGCTAGTTCTCTTATCCACAGGCCAGGTTCACAGGTGCACTTCATTCCTAATGAGCACGCACGTGCCGGCCAAGCCAAGCACCCAACCACCCAGCCATGGCCCGCCAAACCTGACTGGGGGATTCGTACTCCGGGACTGTTCACCGGGTTCCGGCCTCCAGTTGCAGCTGCCGTAGACAAAGCATCAAACTACCTAAAGACCAGAAAGCCTTGTGTGGCTTGTGGAGGATGTGCTAGAATGTGCTGCCAGGCCTCTGGTTCACCACACCGTGTCTCCCCAGCTGCAGGTCAATGAGCGTGTATTCATTCAGTTCCCTTTTATTCTTTTTGTCCAACCTTTGAATTCTGTTGGTAGTTAGGATTTACTTGTGGGATCTTATTTTTCACATTGAGTTCATGCTTCACAAATGTTGGGAGGTTTTTTGTTTCGATTTTTTTTTTTTGCAGTTACATGCTATGGTTCAAACCTGAGTTAACCCAAATATTTCTGCCGACTTTATAATTGTACAGTTTTGTATATTAAACGTTTTTGAAGTTATTAATTTAAAAAAAGATCATTTAGTTTATTCATTTAGTAACTGATGTATAATAAACACTATTTTCATTAAGAGTTGCTTTTTCAACTATTTTATTCAAATTGCCTATTGCAGTTGCCAGCAATTATTTATTTTCAAAAATTCTGCGTTGTGTTTAAAAGGAAAATCTTTCAAAGATAAGTTGGGTGTCAAAAAGAAAACAATTCGCTGTAATGTTTGATGTGAACAGTTTTAGTCAAGGGGTTTATATTGACGAAATATTTTATTGTTGTAAAAGATTAAAAAGGTTTAAATAAAACATTTTTCCAAAAAAATATATATGTTTGCTTCTCTTGGTTTTATTGTATGCTTTGAGAAGTGGAGAATTTAAACCAAGCAAAGTTCTTGATGAGAAGTGTGGGTATTCACTTTGCTTCAGGTTAGAAATCATTATTGTTTTGATTATTCTCTTTCTTTGACTTTTGTCCTTTGGGTTTAGTCTTGTAAAGCACAACAAGGCCTGTTTGCATGTCCATACCAATGGTCTTAGGAAACATACCCCAAGGGCAGGAACTGCCTGGAGAAAGCCTGGGTTGGGTTTATTTCTGAGGATACTTAAAAAAACAAATTCTCCATAAGACTGTCTCAGTCAGGGTCTTATAATCTGCTCCTCCTGAAACTGGACTTCTTGAAGCTTTCGTGTTCCCTAGGTGCACTCCTTCGTTTACTTCCTCCCCACTTCTAAGAGTCACCCTTTTTGTAGTTGCCATTTCCAGGATGAGGGATTGGAAAAGGATTTGATACTGTAAGGGGTAAGGGATCTCCTTAAATTGTTCCCTAGGCATAAAAAGCCTAGTGAACTTTATGCTCAGTAATGCTGAGTGCTTTCTATCCCTAAGTTTGTGAGAAGGAAAATGGATAAAATGGATACATTTGGGGGAATTTTTTTATTTATTGTGCTACTTTTTCCAGGCCTACATACAAATGTGCCCATGTTATTTGATTTCATAGCACTGTCCATAAAAATAAAAGACTGTAGTGGTGTTGAAGGAGTAATTCATGAAATATGAAGCACCATCAAGGTTTTATAGCTTTTGCATACCTTATCTAACTTTTTTGGTTGATGCATATAAAGCAATAAACAAGAATATAAATTTTCCAGCTGTAAAACTCTCAATTCATATTCTGATGTAGGTACTTTTCAGTAGACAAGACAAAATTACTTAATCGCTTTAATAGGTAATGATTATCACATGTAATACCTTAAATTTTTCAGATCGCACAACCATTTACAGCTGTACTGTATGCCACACACATGTAAACGTTGTGTATAAAACATGCCACATGTTCTGTGTATGCTCCTGAGTATATCTCTACATAATATTGACTTTATAGATATGTATTTACAAGCACAAAATTCATAGTAATAAGCCTATTGGTTCTCCTTTGGTTAACACAAACTATCTCCTATTTAGTCAATATCCTATAAAAAGTTTGAATTAATTAAAAAGTTTTTCTTACTAAAGAAATATCCACAGCTTTCAGAATATGCTAGAATTCTTTAATGTGACCATATGAAGATATTTTAGGAAATATTTGTGTGAACATATAAGTATAGATATTACTATTTACCAGTATTTTACATATATATATTACTGATACATATATGTTATTATACATATTTATCAATCAGACTTCCATTACTTTCTCCTAAAAACTATCCAAAGTATAGTTGGCTTTTATGGTGCTCTTATCACTCTATCATGAGCATATATTTTTATTAAAGTCAGATGGTTGGCACTTCTTCCTGGGACTTTCTTTTTATTGAGGTCGCCCCTACTCCTTTTCCTATCCAAGCCATTTGTAGGGGGAACTGTTTTGTCTTCGATTTCTCTCAGACCCTCACAAAAGTTTCATTCCCATCAGCACATCAGATAAATGGAGAGCCTGTAGAGCAGGATAAATTGTGAGAAGAGAGAACGTACAAATGCTGCAGATGTGTAAAGTCACATATGTAAATCAATTATGTATGTGCGTATACAGTTTGTTTGTCCACATACTTGTGGCTCTGGAATGGGTAACAAAAAGGAAATCAATTACTAAATCCAAGAATTTATCTTTCTAACAACAACAAAAAGAAGTGAAATATTAGGCCTGGCAATTAGCTTCTTATCTAATAAGAAAATAGTAGGGGGAAACTATTGCCTAAACTAGTCCGTCCATGAGCTGTGTTCCATCTTTAATAAAATCAAACACTATTCCCTTGGAAGTATTTAGCATTCTGATAGTTCCTTTGCTCTCAAGTTAGGCTACTGCTGTTGCTTTATTTGCCTATAAGTTATAAGCATAAATTTTGGTTTTTATTTAAATTTCCTTATGAAGAGAGAAAGAAGTGGAGGAGGGAAGAGAAATTATTAGAAATAATAAAGTTTTCCAAAGAGAAAAAATGTAGTTTTACACCTATCACATCTTTATAAAGATACATACGTAACCTCAGAATTAGAAAAGTTATTTCTATGACTTGATACTTAAATTCAAACATGTGAGACTTACCAAAAAACGTTCTGAGACAGGAAAAAGTATCAGTGCAAAACAATACCATTTAAATTTATATCACTCACCTTCATCCTTTCTACACAATAAAATACAAGAGTAGAGGATTCTTTATACATGCCCTTCAACAGTAGTTTTAAACTAGCAATCCTCCAACTTATTCATTTACAGATTTTCATTTCAAAAGCATCAAGAAATATGAATATGAAATATATTCAAAATCAATTAAGGGTTTTTATGAGATGAAAGAAAAGTACCTTTTCTTAAAAACACTGCTGGTGGAACATTTACAAAATTAAGAGAGTATACAAAAGAATACAACACCAAACAATAAAATCCTGTAAACTTTTGCAAACTTAAAGCAATGGAAAAAAGTCACATACAAGGTCCTAGAATACTATTCCATATAAATTAAATCCACAAAATTAAACCTCTGTGCATTACAGTAAAAGTACACTAGTATACTATGTTTTTTAATACATGTGTTTATAACATAACCCGTTTTTACATTATCTAACTCACTAATAAGAAAATTTTTTATTATGAAATACCTTCACCCTCTAATATATGTAATATAGGACAGTTTACTTGGTGGGGGGAACAACAGTATTTGGCATATGTGTATAAACATACAACCAGAACCGTAAGCATGATCTCTCTCCTGCCACTTCCAACCCTCCCTTTCACACATGGAGTGGATAAAAATAGACTATATTCAAAGAGGAAAAGAATGAGATCAAATAAGTCATTGACCAATTCATTAGGTATGTCTTTTCATCTCTCCAGATACTCAAGCTGTGTCCACTCTATTGTGGTTTAGCCAAGACAAAAAAAAATCACTCTATCAAACACTCATTTTATCTATAAAATGTCAAAAATCTAGTTTGAATGATCTTCCTCCCAACTCCAACACACATGCTAAACTGATTAATTGCATTAATATCTGGTAAGCATGTTAGGCATATCAAACTCTCCTG